TGTGCAGGGATGGGTCAGGAGAAGCCCACCTTCAAAAAGATGCCTCACAATTATTCATGGCTGCCCTGCATTTTCCCTTCAATCCTGGAGGGGGGTTAAGGGGAGATAATCCAGACTGTGGGTCAGAGAGGACCACTCTACTCCCTCTGGCTGCCTACCTTTGTCCTTTCCTTACTCATTACTACTGCCTGTAGAATCTGGGCCAGAGAAGGGAATAAGAGATGAGTCCAAAAAAGATGTTGATGATACTAATAATAGTAACTGAGAGGGTCGGTGTGGCATGGAGCTGGCCTTGGCGTCTGGTAGTTTTGGGTTCCAGACCTATCTCTGACACAAACTGTCTGTGTGCCTCTGGGCAAATCGCTTACCTTATCTCAACTTCAGTTGCATTTGCAGATTGAGGAAACTGAGGCTTATAAGTGAGTTGCCCAGGGTCACTCAGCTCAGTGTCAGAAGCAGGATTTGCACCCAGGTCTTCCAGATTCCTACAATGCCCTCATCACTATCTATCGCAGGCTGCCTTCCCTGCTCCCTGCATCACTTGGCAGCCCCATTTGTCAGGGTGAAGGGCAATCATGGGGAGGCAGGTGAAAATAAAAAAAAAGCAACTAATGAAAATGATGGGTTTTCAGTTACCATGGCCTTAATTTCAGTTATTCCTGCCTCTTGTTGCCATGGATAATTGGGAGCCTTCCACTCCCCACCCCCCATTCACGCTCCCTCTACAGCATTATGGTCGTTGGGCTGTGGATAGCGGATCTTTCTGTAAGGGCTTTTTTTTTTTTTAGTGAGGCAGTTGGGGTTAAGTGACTTGCCTAAAGTCGCACAGCTAGGGAGTATTATGTGTCTGAGACCAGATTTGAACTTGGGTCCTCCTGACTCCAGGGCTGGTGCTCTATCCACTGTGTTACCTAGCCCCTCTGTGAGGGTTTCTTAATCCCCCTTGACTACCAACCCTACTAGGAGAGGCAAGCATTGGTTCTGGAACCAGAAGACCTCGGTTCAAATGTTGCCCCAGAAGACTTGAGTCCAACTAATCTGCCAGGGTCTAGCTGTGTAACCTCTGTAGAGACGTCTCCCTGGCCCTCAGTTTCCTCACTTGTAAAGGATTTGAGATCAGTCTCTTCTAGCTCTAATGTTCTATGTTCTGTTAGATAAGAACCTCAAGGAGGGATCCTGCAGGTCAGATGGCTATTACTGGCACTAACTTCCATTGGTATAGAACTTCCCGGCATCCAAAGATCTACGACATGCATTCTTATATGTGATAAGACCAGGGAGGGATTAGGTTTCCAGCTAATGTTTAATATAGTTCTTTTGTGAAGGGCTTTCCAGCCTACCAGCTCAAATGAGATGATGTGGAGTGGTAAAATGTGGTAAATGGGGAGAAGGAAACCTCGATCTGCCTCTTACCTCCTGTGCAAAATCAGGCAAGCATCTCACTCCTCTGCCCTCAGTTTCCCCCTCTGTAAAATGAGAGAGTTGAACTAGATGGCCTTTAAATTCCCTTTCGGCTCTGAATCTATGGTCCTCACCATAATCCCATCAGATGGGTTCTGTTATTATTTAAATCACACAATTATTTAAAAACCAATTTATTATAATCATAAAATAGTAAATAAATGTTTAATAGTTCAAATAAATGTTCACATTGTTTAATAAATATTTAATATTCGTAGTAAACATTTAAGTTAGTTAATACATGGTTAATATTCATAGTAGACATTAAAATTATTTAATAAATATTTATAATAAATGGTTAAATCATTTAAAAATAATTAATATTTATAATAAACATTCAAATTATTTAATGAATATTTAATATTTATGATAAACATTTAAATTAGTTAATACAGGTTTAATAGTTGTAATAGACATTAAAATTATTTAATAGTATTTATAATAAATGGATAAATTATTTAATTAACAATTAATATTTATGATAAACATTTAAATTATTTGATAAATATTTATGATAGATGCTTAAATCATTTAGAAAATACTAATGATAAATATTTAAATTATTTAATAAATATTTAATAAATAATATCCTATTATCATTTAATAAAATTAAAGTAAGGATGTGAAGGATCCCTATTTTACAGAGGAGGACACTGAGGCTCGGAGAGGTTGTGACTTGTCCACGGTCACACGTCTATTAGGTTCCCAGGGGGGATTCAAATCTGTGTTTTCCTGACTCCAAGTCCAGTGCTGGCTCTATTACATCATGCTTAGTTTTATTAAAGGAGTGAGGGAAAGGGTGAAGGGCGTCCATCAATTTGGTCACCTTAGCCAGTGATTTCCATTGCCATTCATCATGCTTGAAGACACCCCACCCTACCTAAGACACCTGCTATAACCTTTCCTACATGACCTTGTTCACGTGTGTCCAGCGCTTGGCCCTTCGCCCTGGCTCCAGGGTAGGCTTTGTCCTTGGGGGGATGGCTTCCATTTATATCACCCACCGAGATCTTGCCTCTCTTCTCTTTTTATTAAACAGATCAGGGAAGAAGACAAAAGCCCCCCACCCTCTTCACCACCTCCCCTTTTCTCTGTAATTCCGGGGGGCTTCATCAGGCAACTGGTTCGGGAAACAGAAAAGGAGTCCAAGGAGGCGAAGCGGAAAAAACAGTCATTGGCCAGCTCACAAGAACAGACGGTAAGTCAGCCACCCAGCAAAACTAACAAGCTACATTTCTATCTTTAAAACATGTCTTATTAATACTTTTTTTAAAAAAAAAAATGTTCATTTCTCAATATCCACTCATGGAACCTTCCCTTGTTGCAAAGAAAAAACAAGTTATGCATAACTGACCGACTAGATGAACTTGTGTGACAATGTATGCGACATTCTTCACGTGTCACCCCCCACCTTTCTACCAAGGGGTTGTTATTTAGTCATTTCAGATGTTTCTGACTCTTCTTGGCCCCATTTGGGGTTTTCTTGGCAAAGACACTGGAGTGGTTCCTTCTCCAGCTCATTTTACAGATGAGAAAGCTGAGGCAAACAGGGTTAAGTGACTTGTTCAGGGTCACACAGTTACTACGTGTCTGAGGTTGGATTTGAACTCGGAAAGGTGAGTCTTCCTGATTCGACCTTACCACGGGGAGGGAAGTCTATTTCATCATCTGTAACTTACATTTCAGTAGCAATTTAGTCATTTGTAAAATGGGGCTAATAATAAGGGTAGTACCTATTTCCCAAGACAAGGATGAAGAAAGCTCTTTATAATGTATTCAGCAGCAATTCCAATTTGGGCTCCAGGTGCCTAGATACGAGAGGTTCATGAGTACATATAGAACCAAATATGATCATTATGTATTTTCTCAAGGAACAGATATTAATAGTACAGCCACTTTCATGTTGGGGGAGGTGGGAATCTACAAAATTAATGCAGCAGCTGGGTCCAGTGGAAAGCATTCCTATCCTTGTCATTGATGTCTAAGTGACCTTGGGCAAGTCATTTGGTCTTGGGACTCAGTTTTTTCATCCGTAAAATGAGAGGCTTGGACTAGCCCTAGGCCGTCTGTGAAGTCTCTTTCAGATCTAGGTCTGTGTTCCTGAAAGGGGACACTCATACTTGAAAATGTTGGAATCCACTGCTATAAGGTTGTAGGAATGTGAGCTATAGCTGAAAAATCTACCTTCACAACTCTGGATGAGTCAAGTCGGGTCAGGTATCATTATCCCCATTTTAGAGATGGGAAGACAGAGTCATGCTATAACTTGCTCAAGGTCTCACAGGTAGAAGTTTGGACTGTTTGCCTCTGAGGACATACAGTATCTATTTAGAGTAAGACTCCTTGATTGAATCAACAGCTGGAGATGGGGGGGGGAGGTTAGGAATGTGGCTCCCTGAGGGGATGTTGTCCAGAAGCTGGGCTCTCCTCAGTGGCAACAACTGTCCCTGAAGACAACTGTGAAGCCAACAGGGAACCTCATTGTGCCTCAGACCCCAGCCCCCTCCTCACAGCTGTTGAGCACAGCAGTGGGGTGGGGAGGGGGAGCTGGAGTGAATAGGGGTGTTCCCTCTGACTTCTCATGGTCTGCAATGCCCAGAGAGATGCCAGATACAAGGAGAGTTCTAGTCCACTGCTCCCGAGCCTCAGTTTCCCCATCTGTAAAGTGGGGACTCTAATGTGGTCCCTAGATTGCAAGATTGCTTTAAGGATGAAAGAATATAATATATGTAAAGCACTTGGCTAATGTAAAGCCTAGGAAAGATTAGTAATCATGGATCACTGTTTGCTCTTCTGTTCAGTCCAATTCAATAGGAATTTCTCAAGGACCTTATAAGCAAGGGCCTGGGCCAGGTGCTGAGGGTATGGAAGGCTTCCTGATTTTCTTCAGCATAGGGAATACCTGGTGTGGGAAAGTCCCTTCACCAGTGCAGATCTCAAATAGATAGGACCCAGTTAATAGTTCAGTCTTAGGGAATTGACTGATCCTGAAAAAGGTGAAATGATTGGTCTAGAGATACACAGCTAGTCAGGGTCCTGGGCAGTATTTGAGCACATGCCTTTGTGACTGTGACCCTGCCATTCTTCCAGAGCTAGGGATCGCCACTCCACCCCCAGCGCTAGTGCAGCTAGGTGGCGCCATAGGACCTGGAGTCAGGAAGACTCATCTTTGTGAGTTCAAATCTGACTTCAGACACTAGCTGTGTGACCCTGGGCAAGTCACTTAACCCTGTTTGCCTCAGTTTCTTTATCTGTAAAATGAGCCAGAGAAGCAAATGGCAAACCACTCCAGTGTCTCTGCCAAGAAAATCCCAAACGGGGTCATGAAGAGTCAGACATGATTGATAACTACAACAGACCTAGGAGTTCACAGGTGTGGGGAGCAAGCAGCGTGACCCCCCTCTACCCATGCTCATTGGCATTAATGTTCGAAAAAGCTTCTGTGTCTCGCCCTGGGCCTCAGAGCCAGTGTATGTCGAGGTAGACTTGAACCCAGGTCTCTGTCCACAGAGCCGTGGCTGCCTCTCAGAGATGGGGACACAAGGACAAAAAAAAATCCTATTTGTGCTATGGCTCTTTGTAAACAGATTGGTAGATGGAAATTAAGCCAAGGAGGAAGGAAGCATTGACACCCAAAGCCATCAGGAAAGTCCTGGCTCAGATGTGGTGCCCGAGTGGGCTCTTAAGAGAAGTTAAAGCTTCTACGAGATGGAGTTGAGGAGGGAATGCCTGGCATGATCAATAACATTTATTAAGAGCCTTCTCTGCACCAGGTAACACCAGTTTGGTTGAAATCTGGAATAATTTTGGAAAGGGAGACTAGAACTCAATCACGGAGGGCTTTGCTCCTGCAGGTAATAGGGAGCCATGGAGGTTTTGGAGCAGGGGAGTGCATGGATCATAAGAGTGGTTCAGGAATATTAAATTAGTGCCTGGGTAGATGATGAATTAGAGTTGGGAGAGACTGGAAGCAGGGAGAAAAGTGAGGAAGCTACTGCGATATGCCAGGTGAGAGGTGATGAAGTATTCTTGTTCTGATAAGATATAGAGGTGACTATGGGCAAGTTGCTTGCTTTCCCAAGGGAAACATCATCATTATCAAAACAACAACAGCCATAATAATGCTGGCTAGCTAACGTTTACGTAGCACTTTGAGGGTTGCAAAGCACTTTACACGTGTTAACTCTTTTGATCCTCAGAAGAACTCTGTGAGGTAGGTGGTATTTTTATCCCCATTTTACAGATGAGGAAACTGAGGCACAGAACGGTTCGTGATGTGCACAGGAAGCATTTAAAAAGGAGAACCCAAGAATAGGTCTATGTGTATTCTTGGACTAGATAGTTTACGCCTTGGGACTGCAATGATTCTGGGAAGGACTTGGACTCCAAGGCAGTGGAGAGAGGGTGCGGTTGGCAAATGATTGGGGTTGTGCGTGTGAGTGTGTGTGTGGGGGAGTGTTGTGGGGACGGAGTGCAGGGAGAGGGAGGAGCCAGGGATTTCTCTGACGCTGTGACCCAGGGGTGACCGGGAGGGCGGGGTGCCGGCCGCCGAAATCACTCCGAAATCACTCGCTGTGGTTAAGCTTTCGCGTGGGTTGGTTCCACACAGCTGGTCTCGCAGCTGGGACCTTCTGAACCAATGCAGGGTGCCAGCTGCCCAAATATTCCTGCCTTTGGGGGGAGGGGAGACGTCAGCCTGGCCAAGTCCAGAAGGTCTCCGAAGCAACTCGGCCCCAGAGGCAGAGCCGGGAGTAACGGGTGGAGCTGGCCAAAAGCAGAGCCGTGCCTGAGCACCTACGGTCCTGAGTTGCCCATTAGGATAAGTATTAAGGCAAAGGATGGAGGACCACTTGCCGCAGGAAGGGCAGTCCCAGAGGGCGTTCTGGTTCAGGTATGCTTGGACTGGATGGCCCCCAAGGTCCCTGTCAGCTGAGGGTCTTCTTTGTTCCCATGATCCATGAAAGCCACTGATGTTCCAGTGTGGCCGGCTGGGGGAGGGGGGAGGGGCAGCCGTGGGGGCTGAGTTTCCAGGCAGTCGCAGACATGGAAACGCTGCCCCAAGCAGGTCACGGGTCTCACTCGTGGCCCAGAGCTAAGACTTGAGAATGCTGGGATGTAGATCCCAACAGGTGTGGGAGGCGGGCACTGAAGGGACCAGCCGAGGAAGGCTGCCAGCCTTGTGAGTCCAGCTGGCTCATGGCCCTGAAAAGACCAGGACCCCGTGTAGAAAGCAGAAAGGGCTTCTGTAGCTGTTACTTCATTTGAGCCTCAGAATGACTCCGGGGGAGATAGCTCCATTTTTACAGACAATATTGGCAACAGTAGTTGGCATTTATATAATATCTTCAGGTTTGCAGAACACTCTGCAAGTATCATCGCATTAGCTCTTGCAAGAACCCTGTGAGGGAGGTGTCATCGTTACCCCTGTTCTATAGATGAGGAAACTGGCATTCACAGAGGTCAAGGGACTTACCCAGGGTCATACAACTGATAAGTGTCTGAGGCTAGATCTGAACTCAGGTCTTGCCGGCTCCAGGCCCAGGGCCTTGTACCCTATGGAGTCACCAAGTTGTCCAAGGAGGATTGAGAAGCAGCTGGGGTGGCTAGAGAGCTGCTCTCAAAGTATGCAGACCTGGGTTCAAGTGTCACCTCTGACACATATTTGCTGGGTGATCCTGTAGTTTCCTATGTCAGTGAAAGCACAGGTCTAGTTCTTATTTATATCCCTATCTTCTAAAGTGTGTGTGTTGTGAACTTGCCTCTGTGTGTGTGTGTGTGTGTGAGAGAGAGACAGAGACAGAGACAGAGAGACAGGGAGAGAGAGAGAGAGAGAGACAAAGAGAGAGAGACAGAGAGAGAGAGACACAGAGAGAGAGAGAGAAACAGAGACACCAGAGAGTGTCATGGAAGCTCTGTTCTAGGTAAGAAATAGGTGAAACCTCACATATCAGAGCCTGGGCTGCTTCCCTGAACAGAGTCCGACTTTCTGACAAGGAGGAGGTTGGTAGAGCCCAAATCCAAAGTGACATTTACATAAATGTTAGGAAAGCACCACCACCAGGCCCTCAGTGAGAGGCGTCTTCTGATCATGGGCTGGGCCAGGCATGGCACCAAATGGGTGTTCCAAGGGATGCCTTCTGTAGGTTGACAAGGGCTGGAAGCCGGATATCTACATCTCAGTATAAGGAGGAAGTACAG